TGTGTAAAAAAAATAATAACATTCTAGTGGTGTCTCCTCACAAAACAATATATATGAATATCATGGTAGTAAAAATACCATGATATTCAGTACAAAGAAAACATTGCATGTAAAAAAACAATATAAAAATATTGTCACCAATATCCTGTACTGGCCCTACAGTGAGACAATAAGTGTTACTCTAGACACGCCCCCGCTTTGCGCCTGATTTTTTCAAATTTGACCAATCGCCGCCGGCGGCTGATAATGCTGATCAATGCCGATTGTTGCTGATTGCGATTCTCACAGCTCACACACTTGTTGATTGTGTTTTGGATATATTCCAGGCGTCTTCGCTTCGCTAATATGCGGATTGTTGTTGCTAAGGCGGACCTAAGATTCGTATAAGATAGAAGCACAAGTGAGGCGCAAACATATATGTATAATCAAGTTAAACATGTTTTAGAAGGCATTTATAGATTTTTGTTATGATAATTAAAACAATTACCTTGCATTATTGTGTGACTTTATTTCAATAATGCCATGACATTTACGTGGATTTGAAAAGCCACTAATTTACCGAAGTATAACAATTTCGTCGTGTCAAGTAAATTAACAAGATTTACGGGAATCTATTTTTAGCAGTCTGTAGCCAACATAAATTACTTACTACTTACTATTTGGTTGTAAAAATGAAAGTTGCAGGAATTTAAATAACAAAGAAATAACGTTAAAACAATCATCTGTAACATTGGTTTTGTGTAGATACGGGCTTTTTATCAATGCTGCATACGCGGTTTTTCACTATCCCCGACGATATTCAGAGCAGCCAAATGTTCAAAAAAATTCTTTCTAAAGAAATAAGGATATTTTATTTATTACACACTTTATAATAGCTCCTTTTGAAGGAGGTCGTCTGTGGAAGAATTACCACCTTACCTGTTTCTGCCGCCAAGCAGTTATAGTGACTATTAGACTTTTTTTATGACATCAAGTGACGGGACAAGCAAGTCATGCGGCTGGTGTTAAGCAACACGCGTGTCCATAGCAGTTGCAGTGTCACTCAAAGTTTTAAATCGTAAATACCTGAGGGGCACTGACACTGTACCTGTCACTGCGAGAGGTAAAGTTGACAAGTACCATGTGACTATTTATTTACCAGGGCCCCTCGAATCCGGAACGCAGTGATGCTCATACATTAAATACTTCCCTGGACAGACTCTTTCACAAGACGTTCTACTCCATTACCTTGTCAAACCAAAACTGCATTCTGAGAAAAAGCATTTACGCAAAAGAATTTTCCGGTTTTTTGGATGTTTGAGGTGAATAACATAAAAAGATACATTTAATTTACGTTGTACATTAGATATTAAAGTATTATATCTAGCCATTATGATTTTACTTTGGAAAGTAAGTTATTTCTATTGAAAAACGCATAAATTTCTTTTCCCTCGTTGACAGCCGAAAGATTCTTGTTGTTATGAAATTACAAAACACTATTTTGAACCTTGCAGTGTTTTGGTTTGACACGAAGGAATGTTAAAATTTTAGTAGACCCCCGCTCCTGAGAAATTTACGCTATCTGAGAGTTTTTGCTAACTCAGCCGCCCAGCAACACTGTACCTACACTGTAACAAAAGACTATTGCTGTGTGCTTTGTTGTGTCAAAATTATATTCAAAATTTTATTACTTACCATTGACTTACAAATAAATGGACCACGGTTCTAATACAAAAAACCACGAAAAAGATGTCCCAAGTCAACCTATTTAAACGCAGTGACATGTAAAGGAATATGAAAAGGCTAAAACGTTGAATTTAAATTGTAATGTCATCGCAGTATCGCGCTGTCAGTCGAACAAATGAAGACTAAAGCGGAGTTTGACGCTCTGTATACGATTTTAACGCCTTACAAGTTCGGACACTTTTTAGCGCGGACGCGATGTCCATATAATTGTAAGTCAATGTTACTTCCTATGTATTTTAGTTTTTAATATCTCATTCAGGCCTAAGGAAATCGTATGGAAGCGCTGTTAAATTAAAACATTGTAAGTGACTTTACGGTGTGTTGGTTTTATTCGGCAGTGCAACTAGAATATGTATATACATATTATCGAGTATTATACTCGATGATACATGCAGACCATCACACTTGTCTTCCACTGGGGTAAACACAGACCTTGAATCTTCTCTCTCTGCGTTCCTGACAAACCTCTTTCACCTCCTTGTCCTCTCGCATCAGTTTCTTGATATGTGCCGTTTATTCTTGACACTTTTAGCTTTATGATGATGAAATATCGCTGTCATTGCTTTACACATACAGTTTATTATAAAACATCCAAACCTTGACCTTGGATTTTCTCCCCGGTAGGTCGGTTTACCGCAGTGGTGCTACGGGTCAGGGGTCACGGGTACTGTGCGAAACAATGTAAGGGCTTGCATAACTTGAAGTTTATCATGCGGAAACTTTGTTCTTCCCATTTCCGCATTTACAGGGACCGGTTTGTTTCAAGTTATTTAAAAAAAAACAGCGACTTTCAAATGTATGTTACATTTGAAAGTCGTTTGTTTTTCTTGAGAGAATTTTTTTATAAATTTTCTTATGATATTAAGTGACGGGATGAACATGTCGTGCGCCTGGTGTTGAGCGACACGCCTGTCCATAACAGTTGCAGTGCCACGCAGAGCTTTAAATCACATAGATCTTAGGGTCACTGCCACTGCGCCCGTCACTCTGAGACACAAGTTGACAAGTACCAAGTGCCTGTAATACCATTCTTACTCTTTGAAACCGAAACGCAGTAATGATCACATTACTGCTAGGCGGCAGAGATAGGTCAGTTCCTCTGTGCTCTACTGCTACTAACATGTCCTAAAGAAAACTCCTTTGCTTGTTTATAAATTTTCAATTCCTTATTCAAACTAAACTTACCTAATAATTTTTATTTCACAGGTAAGCAAATTACTAATTAATTAATTATTAAAAAAAAAAAAAAATAAAAAACAAAAGGTAAGCAAATTACACTTGAAACCGTCATATTGATTCAACTCTACTGCGCATTGGTAAGACAGATTCCCCTGAGAAGAATGAGTAAGAAATAATAGGGGTTACTCTTTGTAAATATACACCTGTGTTCATTTATTTATCTTCTTTTTTAACTGACAATAATATAATCTCAGTACAGAGTACTAAAAAAAACCGACCTCAAAAGTACGCGAAATTACGTCTATTTGCTAAGTTTTATTAAAATATCCCCTAGTTCGCCACTATACAGGACTTGATACGGACCTGATACTAAAATAGGTTCTCACTACGACACTACACAAAGTATATTGAGAGAAAAATGCCTTGAATTGGAGAAATAGCAAAATCAACCATTAAAGTAATTGCTCCTAAATTAAAGTTAGGCGCTATTTATAAAAAAGAATCTTCATGCGTGAACAGCCACCCTTAGAGGTCGATGATTTTCTTCAAAATGAAATGGAACCACTATGGAAGTACCCCCTTTCCAACAAAAAAAATAATCATGAAAATCGTTCACAAATACCGGAGTTATCGCGTAACACACATACAAAAAAAAAGTGACATACAGTCCAATTGAGAACCTCCTTTTTTGAAGTCGGTTAAAAAAAGGAGTCTTAATTCGACTGTGTTTTTTTGTATGTAACGCGATAACTCACGGCATTTGTAAACCGATTTTGATAATTCTTTTTTGTTGGCAAAAGGATACCTCATTGGTGGTCCCATTTAAATTTGACCAAAATCTAATCTCCCTCTAAACTAGGGGATGAATGACTTTTGAGGTCGGTTTTTAGTACTCTGTCCTGATATTATTGACGGGTGAATTAGATAGTACATAAGTTTATTTATTAGTTTAAATATGCAGGTAAGGTACAATAAAGGCTTAAATACTAGAAAGTGACAAAACTAGAATTAAATTATATGAATCAAATTGGATCCCCGCGGCTAGGTACCCAAAATGCTGGCAGCGTTCCCACTTTAAATAGCTATGCTAATGCGTTACGTAAGGTAGCTGGATTTCCCAGACAGTTTATTAACTTTCCGAATAAATTTTGTACAGATGAAGGGCACCGGCACCCAACGGGCCAAGGGTTTCAACTCCAAAGAGTGCAAATAGGTAATCGGAGCCAAGGTCCTGGTACTTATTACTCTTTATTCTTTCCGCCAGCTCAGTTGCGGAGCCAGTCCTCTTGCAATATTCATTTCAAATATGATAAATCGAGACAGCATGCTGTAGCTAAACGGGTCACTACCATGTATTTTTGTTATCTATGTATGAACGCAGAAGCTGTAAAATACCTTTAGGACGCATTTACTCGACACGAATTTCTTCACGCTCACGCCGCGCGGAGACCGCGTGCTTCTGTCATGTCAAAGTACGTTCTATTTGTTTAGCTTTTACGTTTTAACTTAAACGGGTGTCCGGGCGCGCGGGCGACACTGGCTTGTCTTTGGTCTACGTGGCGACCGCGCGGCGGTGTTGTTCGGAGAAATTTAAATGTTATTGCCTAGTTAATAAAATTCAGATTCGCCATTAATAATAATAAACCATTTATTTCAGGCCATAGCCCATAAGATAATGGTGTTAGTTACAAAAGAAAACCTTAGAACTATGTTAGTATGATTACATTGAATTTTGAGATATTGACAGAAAATTTAAATATTAAAATTTGGAAAATGCACTATTATTAATTTGACCAGTTGTAATGTTTACCCAAAAGATTAAAATTGTACAGTCAAAACGATGGGCAAACATCCTCAGGATGCCATTGCCACTATCACGCACTCGCTTTAGCAGAGACAACACTTTTTTACGCCTAATGGCATAAAAGTCATCTGTTCGCGGTTCAGCAAATGCCGTGCAGTGCCGTGGCAGTCTCAACAGCATCCTGAAGATGTTATTGTATTCTACTCGTATTGAGTTATATGTACGCAGTGTATATCTAACTACTACTCGAGTACATTGACTGACAAAAAGCTTTAAAAAGCGTAACTTTTACCTCTTTTGTACAACGAGTGAATCTACGGGCCAGCATGTTTCCTCTCACAGCCAGCGCTCTGCGCTCCCTTTCAATATCTAGATCATCTTTCATGCTGTCAGTAATAACGTGACCAAGATATCTAAACTTATCAACTCTATTAAGGGGCGTGCCACCAAGCGTTATGGTACAACATCTGGATAGTATTTACCTGCCTTTACAACAAGCAGTTCACTTTTTTTCAGTTGTACTTCAGCCCATGCTTGGCCCTAGCAGACCCATAATTGATACTATTGACGCGTATATTATCAATGAAGCAACCGACATGCATGCTGCCGAGTTCATCCAGAAGCTGATTAATGTAAAGATTGAAAAGCAATGGTGACATAAGCCCCCCCTGCCTCACACCGCAATCGAGTCGGTAATCATCGGACACCTTGCCTGCCCATCTCACCTGATTTACTTGGTTATTGTACCAATATTTAAGCAAATGTATGCATTCCGCCGGCACATCCGTGCGTCCTAGTTTGTCCCATAACAGGTCGGAATTCACAAGGTCAAACGCCTTTGACAGGTCCAGGAAACACGCATACACCGGCGTTTTCCTTTCAGTATAATACTGAATAGTTTTCTTTAGGCACCAGATGGCACTTTCAGTAGACAGACCCGCTCGGAAACCAAATTGAGTGTCATTAAATTTTACATGTCTACTGAGGTGGTTATTAAGCAAACTATCCAATATTTTAGCAATTACTGTTGCAAGTGAGATGGGTCTATAGTTAGCCAGATCCGAAACGTTACCCGTTTTGTTCTTTACCAACGGCACTACAATAGTTCTTATAAGACCCTCTGGTAAGTAAGAGTGACGCAAGCACAACGTATAAAACATTGCCAAAATTCCCGGTAAATGTTCCCCCGCATACCTGAGATGCTCGATGCTGAGACTGTCGTGTCCTGGGGATTTTCCTCGCTGCATTATAATAGCCGCGACTTCCTTTGCGGAAAAACTTACTGTACTCCCCCCAATGCAGACCCACCATCGCGCATACGGCAGGGCATAGTATTCAACGGTGAGCTAACTGTGAAATTTTTTTTTTAAATTGTTGGCTATGTCCACACGATCACTCACCCCCCCGACATTCAAGGGAACACTTGGGGTCACATTACACTTATTTGTGTTTTTCCAAAAGCTTCTGAAGTCCTTTGCCGAATGGTGTGATGCTAATATGTCACACTTAATTTTCTCTTGCCTATTCTGACACCATTTCAGGTTTGACTTAAAAAGCCTTCGGCTCTCTGTCGTTTCGTTAAATACTACACCACTACGTGGTTTTCCTACTGATATCCACACTTGAAATTTAGCCCTTATATTCCGATGAGCGCTAGCTACATGCGTTCCACCTTGCTATAAAACGTCCCTTCCTACAACATTTTCGTACTTTCGATTGTCGAGAAGCTGCTTGCAGTGTACTTATTACAGTTTTGTATACATTATCTAAGAGTATGTAATGCTTAGGATTATGACACATTTTATCCTCACAGTGCATTAGATCAGACGGAAACACTACTAGACTAAGCTTTTCGTGACATATTGAGTGATAGAGGTCAACTTGGGGCTTTTGTCTTTCTCCCCACACAATTTCATTGTATAATGGCTTACAATTATCACACTTAACTCTTACTACACCAATATCACATTCCATAAATAGGGGCAAATGGTCGGACCAAAACAAGTCTTGGTTCACCCATATATTACGTACTGTTTCACGTGCAGATGTGGTGACAATGAATTGATCCAACCAACTGTACATGAAGACGTGATAACTGGGCGGTCACTCGCGGCGCCCGCTCGAAAACATTCTCCTCGATTAACAGGGCGCTTAGTGTAGTGTTTTTATTTACTACAGTTTTAAATCTCGTAAATGGCAAAAATATTAACCGGCGTCTCACTATACGTTTACAATTGGGCAATACACTATCTCTACGTTAGCGCCTTACGAATTTTGTACAATAACATATTCAGGATGTTGTTGCAGCTGCCACGTTTTTGAAATGCATCGAGGATGTTCGGCTAAGGCTTTGCAGCTATAATGCGAAAAAGAGCGGCTTCCCTGGTGCATAGAGTTCGCGAGTCAGCAACAACAGACTCCTGATTATACTCAGGAGTCTGTTGTATAATTGCAAACAGGGTCCAGGGTTTTTTTCATAAGCACTGATCCCGGTTGCATATTAGTTTTAGAAAAACATGTTATTTGTAGTACCTATTCTATTTTTAAGTGCTTTGTTACTAACCTCTGTGAATGAATATTCCGAAATATAGTACCTTACTGCAGAGGCCGGGAAGTAACGGTTGCTGGACGAGTGAGAATTACAATTTGCTAAAAGAATATGTTGTTATTTTTCCAGGCACATATTAGTAATCTATAGTAGTCTGCTGAAATTCAGATGACGTGATTCACGTGATTTTGCAGTGCATGAAAGTTTCATAAGTTTTCATGTATCTTTTTTTTTGCTCATAGTTAAAACAAATTTAGCCACGGCTAATCTCTTGTTTTAAAGTAGGCGGAGCACAATCAATTACTACATTTCCTTTATCGCTCTTCCCACTAAAACAGTTCTTTCGACAAATACCAAAGCACTTTAGTTTATTTTACCGCCTTTTTTAAAAAAAAGCAGCATTTTTAATTATAGGAATCACGAACACTGGGCAGTTGGCTGTATGCGACATAAAAGTCTAATAATGAACTACCTATAAATATTTAGTTCATTATTAGTAGACACATTTAAACATTTAGAAAAATGGACAGTAATGGATTTTCATTCTTATTTTGCAGGCCTTGGCCGGGAAGAAGTCGCACATTTAAATAACAAAAACTTTCCGTGTTCGTTTTTTAAAAGTAAATTGCAAACATTTCCGAGCATGTTTGAGATTTGAATTTGAATACCTTAGAACATAATATATTACCTTAGAATATATAAAGAATAACGCATAGAATGATAGTTTCATATCAAACGAATTGTCACAAGAGAGGCAAAAATCAAATTCATGTAGGCTAGTTTTAGTGGTAGGTTAGTTTTAGTGAATATTTATATAAAAATACAAGTTGAAACGCGTTACTTCCTTGTGGAATGGTGATGTTAGTATCTATTTTCTGTTTGTCTGACATATTTTTACACTCATTTACCGCATATTTCGTCATTTTTAGCTAAAATTCTGGAGCTGTTCGCGGTGCAAGTTGACGTTGAGCACTGACGGCCCGCCCACTCGTGTAGGCCCATTGGGAGCGCTTCAATTTGCCTCACTTAGCGTGTGCGGACTAGGTTTCTATGCGTTATTATTCTAAGTTGAATATCTATATTAAGGCCTTTAAATGAATTTGTGACTGTGTGGAGACGACTGTCAAGTCACACCAAACAGCCAATTTTTTTGTTCCGCCTGTTTATGTTGTGTTTCGTTTATTACTATTCTTTTTAACATAAATTTTCATAAATGTACTGTGACGCTAGTTAAGTATGTAAATTTCTTTAAACTTTATATTTTTTTTTTTTTTTTAATACCTGACATGCAAATGACTCCACTCCACCTGATGTTAAGTGGAAAGTGGTATCCAAACGCGAAGGAACCTAGTGCAGCGATGGAATCCTCACTGCACTAGCCGCCTCCACCCTGCCTGCCTACAATATGCCTCTTCACGCCTCGTTTGAAGGACCCCATATCATAAGAGGGAGGGAAGACATGTGCCGGAAGGGTTGGGTTGGGTTGGGTTGGGTTCTAGATTTGATTTGCCCTAACCGCATATATTTACAGGACAAAAATTCTAATAATATCAGCGGCATTAGCCCAAAGCAAAATACCGGATGTCATTAATATTATATCTAATAAGCACACTTAAAGATAATATTCAATTTATTTTTATCGCAAAAACCGTCATTGCGGCTTAAACATAAAAGATAGATATACCATGCTTTTGATTTTATTTGTAGATTTATTGCTAACTTTTACCACGACTTTTACGTATATCCAATAGTTTGGTTAAAGCACGCGCTCAGAGGATCGATTCAAAACCCTACGCTACTCAGTTGTCGATCGATTTCTTTTCATTTTTAAGTCTCCGAACGTCCTATTGTTTACAAAACGAGAATGTAATATGGAAATCTCTTATTATTTTAAATAAAGTCTGGATTTTGATCATTTTTATTAATTTATTTTAATGCAAGACTAATGCATTCCTATATTTCAGGCCTTTATAGTTTGAAAAATGCACGTAAAAGGATTTTAATGGTTCTTAAGGTCTATTTCACCGACTAACTTTGTAAAGGCTGTTGGATAACTAGCTCGGAAAGCGCCCTTCGATTCGAGAACGATATCCGATCGAATGATTCGGTTAACATATCGAAGAGTTCTGAATGGGGGTCCAGATCCGACTAGCCCACGCATCACATCGAGCACCTTCGAGATGCATTTTAAAATTGACATAGTTGTTTAGTTGTTGTATTTGCCCATCAATTTAAATGAAATTAACTTTAAATGTTAGTGCAAACTTTCCCGCCGCAGTTGTCGTCTTCATTATTACCTCCTCGTCCGGCACTCCGTACAGGACCCGGTCAGGAATGTGCGTTTTAAAGATTTTAGTGATTTTCTTCAATGGGTTAATTTTTGTTTTTATGTTCGGTTTCTTCACTCCGCGGGGTGATGTGGCGGCTTTAAACGCCGCCTATTATCACGGGCTCGCTGTGGCAGTCTCTTTGGACGAGAGTCGCCAAGGAGAGTGTCACACTTGCCAATATTTTCGATAGTTTTTTAGTTACGTGGAGCGTCACTTATGCCAACAATTTCAAATGGTTTGAATTGTTTTGTAAAACTACGAAATATTATAATTTATGAATTCACGGGGCCGTTTTATTATTCAATAGGGGAACGATAAAGTCCCCAAATTTCAATATGTTATTTATGACTACATCTAAATTGAACTGGCTGTTGTGGAGATTAGAGTGCACAAACGTACAATCGAAAAATATGTCTTCGGTAGGTTGCGCTATTTTAAAACAGACTCAAATTTTTTACAATTTAATATTTTCTAAATTGCACGGTGAAATCTTTTTTTTATAATACC